GCGAGCAGGCGCGTTCTATCAATAATTTCAATACACACAGATGTGATAAAATCAATGGTTACATTTGTACCTTCGCACACGGAAGCTAACAATGAGTGAGCAACGGGTCTTTTTTAACATTAACAACGGTACACAATGCAGGCTACCTGTGCCACAACACTGCACCACCAACGCTTTATATAGTTTATTGTTATAAATACCTATCGTCAGTATGCACCAAATGACTCTTCGTTCCGATCGTCTGAATAAAACCATAGTCAGTCTATTCCTTGACAAATGTTAACCAAATCTAACAGCTGGAAGGACACAGTCGTTGGTGGCGATATTTCAAGCAATAACTTTATTGCAGTAATTTAGGGCAAAGTAAAACGAATCTTATTAAAGCCTCCACTATGTTAATATTTAGTGAATGGACCATTTGATTTCCGTCAGGTCATTATGTTATGTACGAGTATTGTATTGTAAATGGGACCACGTTCAAAACAAATATGTTGCATTAAAACTAAAAGTTGATAATTGTGGAAAAAATAGTTTTAAGTATTGGCCAATGGAATAGAGAAACTGCTAAAAGTGATTGCATAAAAACTGCTTAAACCACCATATAAAGTCAGTTGAGTCGAAACTTATATACAAGTTATGATTTTAATACATTTAAAAAAATATATTGACAAACAAGCTTCGCGCTGATTTTTCTTATTATTCGGTGCCAGGGTTAGGTAGCCAATCACCCACAGTCTTATAAGTAGCTGCGCAGTCCTAGCACGGACAGATTAATGACGCCAATGGAAAATGTTTCAATAAGGTTAAAATACGCCACACGTGTTATTAAACTGATGTATATTTCTGTCTTCATTTATTTATTTTTTATTTATTTCCCATTCAATGACAATCATGGTGTAAGTACCAATGACATGTGGTGGCCAAACAGGAAAGTATAACTCATGTATTTTACTTACTTTCTCAATTAGGTGATGTTTATAAATGTGTGCTCTGTTCAGTGACATGTGTGTAATAAATAGTTACCTGTCAGAGTTAAAGTACAGTTGATTTAATAAAAGAACAGAACTTTAAATAGCATCATCATTATCCGTGTATGATACGTGTGTGTTCTCATTGTTTTCATTGCTATAAATGTATATTCTAGTATCTGCCGTCGTTTTTTAACTTTACTGAAAAGCGCAGTTGATAAAATATTGTATTATAATTATACATAGATAACGTTATGTATGTCACAATAATTTGTACATATTAAACGATACTAATAGGGTGTCAAAGCAGTAAATGATGGTTCGTAAAAATTATACTTACCCTTGTTCAATATAAATTGAATTGTTTGATGTGGGCAATAATTCCGTGAGTTAAGTTCGATGTTGTGAGTCTATCATCACTGGGTAATTGTAATGACACTTTTCAAATGTAATTATTAACAATCAAATCAAAACCTACGACTTTATAACGTTTTGTCTGAAAGAAATATCCTTCAAACACACTTTAATAAGAAATCGGTCTGATATGAAAGTATAGTGTTATTTATTTAGTTAAAACTATCTATTGCAAAGAGATCTGCTGACTAACTTACATTTTACTGGCGAATGTGTCTGCATTGCTGTTCTCTTCATCAACTATCTCATATTCATCACTGTAAGCAGGTAGTCTGAGTGACAGTTATGATGTTAGGGCACACATACAAATTACCCTGATTATATGTTTAATAAATTGGTTCAAATCAATCCAACGATAAATTCCATAACTTCAAAATAGCTAAAATGAAAACGTAGTATAGTAAAATTATAATTATTTATTTGAATATGATTTGCATTATTTTTAGCAATGATTCATTGATATTCACATAATAATACAAGGCATAAATACAAAGCTTAGATTATACTTTTACAATATTAACAGTTCCTAATGGCCCATTTGTAACAAGGGATTTAACAAGAGCGTTCATGGAAATTATCGATCAATTTCAACAAGAAAGTATTTTCATATAATCCTTCAAGAAAATCTTACAGTATTAGATGCATTTGAAATATTGTTCTGCGAGAATCAGTTTTATGTTGATGGGTGAAGCGCCACCAAGCCGACCACAAAAACAATCTGTTATAAACGTGCCAGTGCGTTGTTTAAATAAACTCGCCCTTAATGACCTCCGTCGTACTGAATATATTTGCTTATCCCGTCAAGTACGTTGTAATACATACACCAGTGGGGTCAAATGCTGAACTTTGAACACAGTAATAAACATATTACTATTTTTACATGGTCTGGCAACAATAAATGTAGTATTGGTAAGCATTAAATATACTACTTGTATTATTACTACATTTGTGTTCTTTTGTGTGATTTTTTCAACATATATTTCGAAA